GGCTGAGCGATAAAAAATAAACACAAAGAAGTAACACTTCATTGCCAATTTCATCGCTAACATTCATTCTGTAATTTTTAATTTTTCAGTGCCAGTATTTCATTGCGAAATTTATAGCTTTAAATGGCACTTGTTTATTAATGGATTTATTTTTAGTTTTTTTAAAGATTTTATTAATTAATCTCTCTCAAGCTTTTAGCTTAATTTCTCAGTAATCTACTAAAAACAAGACAAGGTCAAAATCATGTGAATCTGTTTATGATTGAGTACATATTATTTTTTTACTAAAAAATACCCTCCTAATCTACCTATTTTAATAATAATTTTTTCACTTGGCGATAATGCTCTTTCCTTCCTTTTCTCACATTAATAACTTTGTATAAGGTCATAGACATATTTTTTCATGACACTTGACGAGGGTTTTTTGCGTAATTAATTAAAGTCTCTTAATTTTCCCTCTTAAATTTTGTTCCTTTCTCTCAAATATTACCCTCTCCAGCAAGAGGTCGAAACAATGATTACTCAGAGTAATTATTCCAGCAATCTTTTAATCCATTTTTATCTTAAAACGTTATATATTTTCTCTTATTTTTTCCTCAATTTTTTACACTAAAAATCCAGGCTTCTTCAATTCTCACACACAAATAAACACCCTTTTACCTTTCTTTCCTCCCACACAATTTTTTTATATTATTATACATTTATATATTTTTTCTATATACTATTCATTCTTGTTGCTCATTTGTAAGAACATTGTGTTCCTTTTTTATAATTTAAAAAAAAATAATTTTTATCGGCCGATCGGTTGTTGGTGACAGAGCTCTCCATAAAAAGCCTTTTTTTCTGCAAAGTGTCGATTTTGCTTGGATGGGCACTTTAATGTTCTTGTTTTTGTTGCTGCCAGTCATTGCTCTCCAACAACGGCAGGCCTTTTCTCTTTCTATATACTCTTCGTTTTTCTCTGTTTTTTTGAAAAATACCTCTTCCTAATAGAAAATCATCCCCATCAGAATTATGTAAAAGCTAATTAATATCAATATTTAATTAAAAATGTGTGTTAATCTAGCCGACCCAATTCCTGAAAATCAGAAATTCCCAACGTTTTTTGGCCGAGATCCCGATTTTCCAAAAGGGGGATTTTTTATGTCGACAATCCCTGATATGTATGTGTTGATTTTTCTGTATATTTTTTATATTTAGTTTGGCATTAAATTTACTTTTGGACCTTAAAAAGGACCTAGATCGTCTGGCAGAGACCTATAAAAATATTTTTTAAACAAAGCTTGCCGCCTCTGATTTTTCTAAACTTTTTATTGACCTTTATCTACTTGATCTTTGTATCTATTTGAAATAGGGTTGGTCCCCGAGCCTTCGGGGTTGGAAAAGTCGGGGGTCGGGGTTTTCGGGGTTGACAAAGTCGGGGTCGGGGTCGGGGTTGCTCAAATTGTTCGGGGTCGGGGTCGGGGCTGAAAATAATGTCGGGGTTCGGGGTCGGGGTCGGGGGTCGGGGTTGAAGTGAAAATTTACAAAATCCAGCATTTTTATCCAAAATTACTGTTCAAAATCAACATTTTTATTAAAAAATCAACTTAATCTTCATTATCTTCACTTTCTGTATCTAATTCGTGATTAGTTGAAGGCGCAAGAAGTACTTTATCCAAGTTATCCTTCATAATCCCCAAAATCCCCAAACCCACAAGGTAACTCTTACTCCACCTCTTATGTAAAGGGATTGAGGGGATATGAAGGCATATCAGAGGAAAAAGATGGATATAATGGGATTTAGAGGGATTTGACGGGATATCGGGGAGTTGCAAGGATAACGGGAGAAATCCATCTATCCATCAATTTCTCCTAAAGCCTCTGTATCCCTTCATTGTGTCTAGCGCCGCAGGCAAAATTTTGAGAATTTTGGAAGGTCAAGAGCCAGATTTCTTCCATTTTCGGCGCCGCAGGCAAAAATTTTTAGAATTTTGGAAGGCCAAGAGACAGGTTTCTTCAATTTTCTGCGCCGCAGGCGAAAATTTTGGAAAATTCATGACTAGTTTAAAATTTCTAATATTGTTTCAAGTTTAAAATATTTAAAAAAATAAATTTACAAATTTAAAATCAAGATCATAGTTTAAAAATATTTATTTTTGAGAAGAAAAATTTTCTCAGCCTTATTTCCATCCCTGGATTCGAACAACATTCCTATCAAAATAGCTAAATGGCTGAAGTCAGTTAACCTAACCACTCAACCATCGACCAACAAAGGGAAACAGGAGAAAATATAAATATTCCTTTCCCTTTTCCTTCATATATTTAGCATCAAAGTCCCGATCCCGTTCCGATCTCTAGTTAATTAATGCAGTTTTAGTCGGGGGCATAAAAATTTTTCGGGGTTCGGGGTCGTCGGGGTCGAACTTTCGGGGGTCGGGGTTTTCGGGGTTGGGAATGTCGGGGTCGGGGTCGGGGTTTTAGGTCAAAAAATGTCGGGGTTCGGGGTCGGGGTCGGGGTTAGTCGGGGTCGGGGACCAACCCTAATTTGAAAAATATTTTTAAATGTTGATCTTTTGGCTTCCAAACTTGTTTTGGGTCCCTTTCCAATTGTTTCCATCCTTAAAGCCTTTTGTACATCCCGCGGTGTCCCTTTTCAATTTTTACCCATTTTCTTCCATTTTTTCAATGTCCCCCTTCCCATCTCTCCATTTTCTTTCTAATTATTCAATTTTTACAGTTCAAACTTTAAAAAATTTTTTTCAAAGAAAATTGGCGACTAACAAAAACTCTTTTAAATTTTAGAAAAAAACGGAGGGAGAAATGTGAAATATAGGCGCTGTGGGAAAGTTTTTGGTGAAATTCAGTCCTATTTACAGCTTCTTTTTTTAAAGATTCATTTAAATTTAGGTATAAATGGCTATATAAAAAATAAAGGATTTATCCCTTTACTATATTTTCATAAATTCTTTTTCTAGAATCATTCGACTTTTCTTTGTTTTTTCTTCGTTTTCTTCTTCATCCTTCATCTCCTCCTTCATGTCTCCCGAATCTCTTAAAATTTATTCAAAATTTTTAATCAATCTTGGCATCAAAAAATGATGGAAAAGGACAACAATAACATTAATTCTCTCTATTTTTCATTTAAAGGCCATATAAAAATTAAAATATTTTTTTAAAAGGAATCAAAGAAATTTGCCGAAAAAAAAACAATTTTTGAAAAAATATTTTTCAGCAAAATTTTAAAATTTCGCCCTTATTTTTATTTTTTCTTCTTCAAGTTCACAACAAAAATCACATCTTTTTCTCCAATAAAATACCTTTACTTTTTATTTCTCCAAAAATTCATTTTCGCCTCATTCACCCCTTAAAGCTCCGATTATCTTCTTCTCTTAAACCTCTAGTTTTTTCATCTCATTTATTCATATACGGCCTTCCTTCACCTTCCTTTACTTTTTTGCATATACTATAACTTGGGCCGGAAGTTCACCTTTTTATTCTTCTTCATTTTTACACAATTTTTGCTTGATCATATTCTTCTTTTCTGATTTTATTTTTAATAAATATTATTATTTTTTTCTTATTTTTTACGAGGAAATTGACCAATTCTTTATTCATTTTCCAAATAAAGATACAGAATTTCAGAAAATTTTTTTCAACTTTCTAACATTAAAAAATAGAGTTGTCCGATGACTCAAGACTTTTTTTGAGGTTTTTTTTGGTATTGGGTCTTGGCCTTGAATCTTGGAAAATTTTCAGTCTCGGACAGCTCTATTAGAAATAGCAACAATTAAAAATCAAGAAAACCTTTCTCTATTTCCTCCAATCATTTTCATTATTATTAACTCTCGGGCCATTAGACAACATTATTGTTGTTGTTCCCAGAAGGGGCGTGAAATGACTGACGTGTCCCCTTGTCCCTTTTTTAAATAAGGGGGGTAAAGCTTTCTTAAGATTTTTTAAAATCGATCTATAAGGCTGGTTTTTAACCGATTGTTTCTATGTTCTTTTTGTGTGTAAATATTTTTTTAATGAATAATATTTTTCTTGGGAAAGAGAATATAATTTTTTTATAAATGTTAAAAAAGAGAGAATTGTTTTAAAAAAAAAATAAAAATGCCACTTTATCATTTAAAAAAATTTTTATTTATGGTGTACTTTTGAATGTGTACTTTTCTTGAGAAATGAAACATTTTATTAGTAAATTAAAATTTTTTTAATTGCTTATGTTGGTGAAAAAAATCTTTTTTTATTTTAAATAAAAAATTTTTAAATTTATTTTTTAGCAAAAATAAAACAACGAATGATATTCTTCTACTAACATGAATTATTATTATTACTATATTTTTCTTGAATTCTCACTTCTATTATTTTCTTCTTTCAACAATGCTTATGATGAAGAGTTAAAATTATCTCCTGATAAATCTGGATTAAGAAATCGTGAGCGTTTTAATTTTAAGAAGACGTTTTTAATTAAAAAGGAGTTGAGATTTGACTGATTCCGGCCTCTATAACTTATGAAGGATAGGTATCACTTATTTTTCTTGGTATCCAAAAAATCAAAATTCCCGACTGAATGATAAAAAAGTTAAGGGTACCAAAAATGTTAAGAAGTGGTCATCCTTTCTTGAGTTATAAGGCCGGGACTCATTTGAGTCAGTTGAACTGCTCCATTTTATCAATTTTATTTTTTTTCAAGTTTGTCTCGGCACTTCAAATGGTCGGGCAATGGTGGATTATTTTTCTATGAACAGATATACATTTTTAAGAAAAGCTTATGAAAATTGTCGTCATATAACTGGAAATCTTGAAATTGCTTATGTTTTTAAAGAAGATATTGAAAATGATTGGTTGTTACAAAAACAAGAAAATGAACAAAATAATGTTACAAATATTTTGTTGAAACCTCGAGAACCTTTTTATTTTTTACAAAATTTGGAAGAGGTAAGAGGGGGGAGGAGGAATTTTTTAAATTTTTGAAAATTTTTTGGAAGTTCCATGAAAAATTTTTTTTCTTACAGATTTATGGATATTTATTCATTTACAATGTTACCGTTGAAGAAATTTCTTTACCATCACTTCGAGTTATTTGGGGAGAAAAATTACTGGAGGGAAGTGCAATAACTGTTGGATCATCATTAACCTTAAGATATTTAAATATGCCATCCTTAAGATGTTTGTTTGGAAATTATTTTTTAATTTTTTAAAAATATTTTTAGCAATTGTTTCTGGTATTGTAAGAATACACGATTCACCACTTTTGTGTTATATGGAGCAAGATTTGACAAAAGATAACACTGATAATGATAAAAATGTTGATTATAAAGAAGTTTGTTTTATTCGAATTTAAAATTAATTTTGTATTATTAACAGTTTCTTGGTGACAATTTTAGAGAAAGATTGGACTTGAACCCGTTTAGTGCTCAATGTCGAGCAGCACCAACATGTAGTAAACAATGCAGAGAAAAGAATTGTTTTGGGTAAGAGAAATTATAAAAATTAAAAAAAAATTAAATTTTAATTATTTTAAGGAGTCGGCCTGATCAATGTCAACATGGTAAAATTTTAAAAAATTTCAATAAAAATTTTAAAATTAAAAAATGCTAGTTAGAAACCCACCTCCGCTCCTTTTCCTTATTTAAGAGAGAGAGAATGGGAAAGAAAAGAATGACGCTAGTTAAAATAGAAAAGGAAAGGAATGTGTGGAGAAAAATGGGAAACCCATTCAGAGCAGCCGTGTCCGAGTGGTTAAGGAGGTGGACTTGAAATCCACTGGGCTTTGCCCGCGCAGGTTCGAATCCTGTCGGCTGCGAATAATTTTTTTCGTCGATTAAATTTTTTACTTTTCCCAAATATAAAAAGAATGTGTGGTTAACATTGGAAATAAAATTTATAGCAGTCGTGTCCGAGTGGTTAAGGAGGTGGACTTGAAATCCACTGGGCTTTGCCCGCACAGGTTCGAATCCTGTCGACTGCGATCAATTTTTTGGAGTATTTAATAATTATTTTTAATTAAAAATTTAAATTTTATCCTTCTAATAGAGAGGTTTAAAATTTTTTAAATTTTTAGTTTATCGAAAAAATTGTCAAGAAGAATGTGAAAGCAGATCGTGTTATATAGATGCCCATGGAATTAGCCGATGCTGTGATGAAGCTTGTGTTGGAGGGTGTGAAGGAGAAGGACGCGGGAACTGCATTGTACGAGAATTTTTAAAAATTTGATTTTTGGAATTAAAATTCAGCAGGTTTAAAATTTTTTTTAAATTTTTTTCAGGCTTGTCAAGAACTTGAGGAAGACGGAAGATGTGTGTCACAGTGTACAGGAACACAAAGGTATTAATTTTAAAAAATTTTAAACCTGTTCAAAAAATTTTTTTATCTCTTCAGATACAACAGAAAACAAAAAATTAACGAACTCATTCCAAAATCCAAAGCAAAATATGCTTATGAAAAGCATTGCTTACCTGAATGCCCACCTGGTACATTAATTGAATCATCTAGTTGTGTGGCTAGATGTTCGCCAGGATTTTATCGAGATCCTAGAATAGATCCACGTAAATGTATTCCATGTAAAGAAAAAGAATGCCCAGTTGTTTGTCAATTCCCGCCTCCGGTAAAAAAATTTTTTTGAAAATTTTTTAAATATTTTTTAAACTTTAGGGAGTGGATATATTAAATTCTGGGAATATTCATGTACTTGAAAATTGTACAGAAGTTGAAGGTTTTTAAATAAATAAATTTTTATAATTTTTTAAAAATTACTTGGTTATTTCTAGAGAAATTTTTTTCGTTATTTTTTAACGAGGGTTCTGGCGGGACCGACTCTACGAGAACGGGGAATGCGGGGAAGAACAACGGGGCTCTGAAGAGGGACATCACCACGTTCCTAGGGAAATTCACTTCCGTGGGGAACAGGGATTCCCTTTCCTGTTTCCTGGGGATTCCCTTTCCTGGAGAACCCTCCCATTTTATAAAAATTTTAATTTCAATTTAAGGATATATTACAATTATTGACCAATCCTATGTAGAAATTTCTCAATTTGCGGACGAGAAAGAATTGTAAAAATAAATTTTTTAAAATTAAATTTAATTAATTTTTAGTATTCGATTTGAACAAGCGGAGGTACAACCAAAATCACAAAAATTATTTGCTCCTTTAAATGCTTCTCAATTGGAAATTTTAAAATCGGTTTTAAATTTTTTTTTAATTTTTTCCAAATTAATTTTTTTCAGATAAAAATAATAACAGGCTTTTTAGCAATAGAAGGTTCAAATTTTAAAAATCCATTAAGGCCATCCAACCTAAGTTTTCTTGAAAATCTTGAATTAATTGAAGGACGTCAACTCTTTTTTGAGGTAAAAAAAGAAGGAAATTTTCCCTCAAAAAATTTTATTTTTAAAGAAATATGCTCTCTTAATTTTTGGAGATCCACAATTAAAATGGTTGGGATTACGTTCACTTTCTAATATAACACATGGAAGTAAGGCCTCATAATTTTTAAGGAAAAAATTTTTTCTTAAAGATGTTTTTGTGAGAAATAACAGTAATCTTTGTTATTCACAATCAATCCCGTTCAAACAAATTTTTGGCATTAATCAAAGCTTTTGGATAAATAATGGGAATGAAACAGATTGCGGTAATTTTTCGAGATTTTTAATGAGTACTAATTGTATAGTGGCAAAATGTCTTTTGACAAAATGTCCAGTGACGAAATATCTTGTGACTAAAAGTCGGATAGACATTTTGATTAAATTTTTTAATTAGCTACTTTTTAAAATTTAATTTTTTTTATTTTAAGATCAGCATCAATGTGATCAAAACTGTGGTAGGTTTCTTTTAAATAAAATTCTTAAGAATTTGTATAATTAAATTTTTCAGCAAAAGAATTTGGTTGTTGGGGTCCTGGACCAGAACAATGTGTAAAATGTAAAAAATATTTGCGTGAAAAAGAATGTTTGGATAAATGTCCAGATCAAGGGTATTTTTATTTTATAATTTTTTAAGGAAGACGCCTGCTCGGAACTAAACTTTTATCTCTCTCTTTCAATATTATTTTTTAAAGCTATTTTGTTGACAATTCCAAACCTCTAATTTGTCAACCTTGTAATGATCAATGCAAAATATGTCATGGTCCTTTACCTACACAATGTTCTATTTGCAAAACTTATCATATTTGGATTTTACAAAATTCAATAAATAATACAAGCAATAGTATTGAATATTATTTTGATGAATTTGACGAAAATGAATTTATAACTACGACTACTCCAAAAGAACAAATTGCTGATGGAAGTTGGACAATTGGGGCAGTTAAAAAATGTTTTTTAATTTTATTTTTTTCTTAAAAAATTTTTTTGTTTCTTGTTTTCTAGGCGTTCAATATTGCCCAAATTCAACAACATATTCTCTTGGATTTGAATGTCGCCCGTGTCATGAAGCATGTTTTGATGGATGTACTGGACCTGGCGACATTGTTGGTAACAATGGTTGCAATAAATGTTTGTATGGATTGAAGGATGAACTTGGAAATGTTTGTTGATTATTTTAATTTTAATTAAATTTTAAAAAATTTAAGTTGCGTTGTCTCAAGGGCAATGAACCTTCAAGCGATGTCTGTGGCTTTAAAAATACTCTAGGGGAAAATTATTTTCTTGCTTTGGAACCGGCAAATTCTCTGACTAAATTTGTATGTTTTTTTTATTTTTAGGAAATTTTTCTTTAATATTTCCCTTAGTCTTGTCGTAAATGCCGTCCAGAATGTAAAAATTGTACTCGAGATGGCGTAGTAGAAATGGCTTCTGATGGGAGTACTCCAGTTTGTAATTGTGCCTATTGGCGTTTGGAACCAGCTATTGTTAATAATAATCGTCCGACAGAATGTTCAATGGATTGTGGAAAGTTTGAAGATTTTTTTTTAGTTTTTGTTATTTTCTTTTGCTTACTTTAGAGGTTCTTATGTACTAAAATATCCCAACGAAACACTTTCTGGTATTGGAGAATGTAGACGTTGTCATCCATTTTGTGATATTCACCGGTCTTGTTATGACGATGGGCCTTCAAATTGTGAGAAATGTGCTCATGGTGGAATTGTTGATAAAAATGGGACTGTTACGGTTTTTAAAAATTTTAAAAAAAAATCTCAAAAAATTCTTTTAAGTGTTTAAATGCATGCCCTCCAGAATTGCCATATGCTGATGAAGAAGGAATTTGTCAACTTATTGATCGTGAACGTTCTCGAAGACAGAAACAAATAAAGATTGTTGGAGGAGTGTTTTTGGCAATTATATTGTTGGCAGTTTTAATTGGAGTTTGTTTTTTGTAAAATTTTGGTTCATTTTCCTTTTGTATTTTTAGTTTTTGGTTTGGCGTTGTCTAATTTATCAGAAAAAATATATGAAAGAAGTGCAGATGCATTTGCCAGGTTTAGAGATTTAAAAAATATTTTCTTAAATTTCAAAATTTTTATAGAAATTCCTCCATTGGATCCATTAAAAGTTACTCAACGTCCAAACATGCGTCGTCTCAATCTTATTCAAGTTAATGAATTGGACTTTTTGCCTGGAAAATCAACTGTACTTGGTCAAGGAGCATTTGGAATTGTTTATGCTGTTTGTTTATAAATTGTATTTTCTCAAAAAATTATTTTTCAGGGTAAATGGCGTCCACCTGGCGTAAAAGTGAACATACCTGTAGCTATAAAGGTTTATTTTTTAATTAAAAATTTTTTAGAAAATTTTTTTAGGCAATAAGTGCTTTAGATAGTCGCCTTAACGAGAAAGAAATGTTGAGAGAAGCAGGAATAATGCATTCTGTCCAACATGAACATTTACTTCCTGTAGCTGGAATGTGCCTAGGAGGTGGTGGAGGACTTAAAATTGTTACTTTATTGCGTCCTTTGGGTTCTTTACTAAAATTTTTTGAGCAATATAGTTCTCAACTTGGTTCAAAACAATTAATGCTATATTGCTATCAGGTTTTTTTTTTGTATAAAATTTCAAAAATTTTTAAAAAATTTAAAAAAGATCTCCTCAGCAATGGAATATTTAACAAAACGTGCAATTGTTCATCGTGATTTAGCTGCTAGAAATGTTTTGGTAAAAAGTGCTTTACATGTTGAAGTTACAGATTTTGGATTAGCAACAATGTTACAAAGACCTAATGATTCTGTAATTATTGAAGGAAGAGTTGCTGTAAAATGGCTGGCACCAGAAAGTTTAAGGCATTCAATTTTTAATCAACGGACAGATGTTTGGTCATTTGGAATAACTTGTTGGGAAATTTTAACTGTTGGAGCTTGTAGTCCTTATAAAGAATTGAAGTTACCACGTGAACGTTTAGCTAGAGAACTTGTCGATAAACTTGAATGTGGTTATAGATTAGAACAACCAAATAATTGCAGTCAAGAATTGTATCAGGAATTGCTTAATTGTGAGTTTATTTAAAAATTTTGGCCCGGTATGGTTTAGTAGTCCAATCAAGTTTTTATGGGTCCAAGCAACTTTCTGGGATTTATAAGTCTTCATTGGACTCGTAAACTAGACCAGATTCAAAATTAAAAAAAAATATTTCTTCAAAAGGTTGGCTTCCTGATCCAGAATCGCGACCAAGTTTCAGACAAATTAAAGAACGCTTTGAACAATTTTGTCGTGCTCCTCATATTTACATTCAAGAACGAAGAAATCGTCTAATTGAAAATCAACAAAAACAACAACAAATGGAATCGCGTATAGGAAGTATTGGACAACGAGAAATGATTGCACGTTTACTTCATGATAGTGATTTTGCTGATCCTGTATTTGTAGATCCTGCTGAATATAGCAATAATTCCTTGAATAATCGAGGTTTTTTAATTTAAAATTTTTTTTTTAATCTTTTAATAACAAAAAAAAAGATGTCATCAACACCAACAGCCCTCAACGTGAAAATACAAATAATACAAACACAACAATTCTTTCTGATGATGACTGTTTCTTTTCTACTGTTGAACTAGTGAACAATAATAATAAAACACCTTCACCCAGAAACGTTTATTTTAATTTTAAAAATGAAAAAAATTTTTTAAAAATTTTTCAAGTGTGGTGTAAAACCGGATCGTCATGGAAGTGTTGCTACAACAATTTCTTCTCGTTATAAAAGTGATCCACTTGGAAGTGGTAGCCGAAAATGTTCACATTCTTCTTGGTCTCGTGATGAAGATGGACCTTTACCAAAACTTTCTTTAACTGACGAAGATAATTATTTGATGCCAATTAAAAAGCTTGGTTTATTCCTTGATGAAGAAATTGAAAAATTTGGAGAAGAGGATGAGGAAGAGGATAATGATGATGATGAAAATGCTACACTTTATACACCTGTTGTGGAAGGGAAGAGAGATACTATTAAAAGTTTGTTTTTATTAAAGGTTCGTACTCGTCCCTGGGGATAGCTTTTGGGTGGTCTCCCTTCCCCGTCCTTTTAGCAGAAACCAAGAAAGAACCCCAACTATCATCTCCGTAAAACATCCCTCAAAACACAGCCCCCTCATCCTAGTTTTCATTTAAAAATTTTTTAATACTTTCCGATTATGTGGGAGAATACATATAACAAATTTTGGGAGAACAAAACAGAAGAAAGAACTCCAATCATTTTTTATCTTCTTATAAATTATTTTTTTAGAATTATTTCCCTCAACACTTCCTTACTCTAATACTACAACTTTATATACAAATCAATTTGGGGAATATATAAATGAAAAGAACGGTGAAGAAGAAAAGAAGAATGTTGTTGGTGTCATCAAAGGTTCTGGTAATATTGAAAAGGATGAAAAGAAAGGAGGTTATGTGAATACTAAAGGTGAGGAAGAGGTAATGACCGCCGTTAATAATAAAAATATTAATAATAATTATGAAGACAACAACAATTTAATAGAAAAACGTGACAATAATAATCAATTGTTGTTGCGAACTGAAACTGAAACAGTTATTTAAATGATATTTATTATAAGAGAGTGTTTGTGTGTGTGGGTGTGATTGATGTGAAAATACTTGAGAAATTTAATTTTCTAAAAAAAGTCTGGAGAATTTTATGAGGGTGGGGAGGGGTAAAATAAAAATCATATTATTATAGTACACAAAAATATTTATCAAATATTTTTACCCCCTTTATCATCAATCACCCACCCTCTTTTTTTCTCTTTTTTCATTTTTCACCTTGTCCAAAAGTCAACAACAAAACAAAAACACATTCCTTTTTTTCCTAATTTTTATAATGTGCAAAATCCTTTTTTATGTAAAAAAATATATTGCCTCTATTTTTTGAGAGTTTTAAAATTTTTAGAAAAAATTTTGTATTCTGAAAATAGTTTTCAATTTCAAAATTTTTCTAGGATTTTTGTTGAAAAAAGTTGAAAAAATAGAGGTGCCTAACAAAATTAATACGGTTTTTACAAAAATATAATTTTCATACTCGTGCAATTTTTAATAATTTAATCTATAAATAAATATTAATTTTTTTTAATTTTCTATAAATTTTGTTTTGATCATTAATTATTATTTTTTACTAGCAATCAATAAATATTTTTTATAATTTTCAAAAACATGGAACTCACATTATTGCCTTATATTGACTAATATTTAATTTCAAAAAAAATTTTATAAAAAGAAAACGAAATGCTTGACTGGTTAACTGGACACAGCAAACCATTACGCGTCAAGGTGTCTACAATGGAAGCTGATTTGAATGCTATTAGTATGGACAGAGATGCTTTAGGACAAGATTTATTTGACACAGTCTGTAAAATTATTGGACTACGAGAAGTTTGGTATTTTGGACTTTGCTTTACAAATAGGAAAGGTTATACTTGTTGGTTACAACTTGATAAAAAGGTTTTTTTTTAAATTAAAATTTAATTTTTATTTGATAGGTTAGAGATCATTCTATGCCTAAACAATCAGATGGTTCATTGCATTTCCTTTTTCTTGTTAAGTTTTTTCCAGAGTCTGTAAAGACTGAATTGATTCAAGATTTGACAAGGTTTGAAATAAATTCGACAAAACATTTTTTATTTTTTAAAGGCATCTTTTCTTCCTTCAAATCCGCCAATCAATTCTTTCAATGGATCTTTATTGCCCTTCTGAAGCGGTTTATTCTGTTTACTTTTCTTGAATTCCAGAAAATTTTCTAGGCAATTTTGTTGGCATCATATGCAGTACAAGCAATGTATGGTGATTACCAAAACGATGAAAATATTGAGTTGGACTTGACCAAATTAATTCCTCCTTCAGTTATTCAACAATATGATATGAGTGCGGATATGTGGCACGAGAAAATTGGTTTTAAAAAATTTTATTTTTATAGAATTTCTGGATTTAAGGCAATTGGTGGGCTAACAACAGCGGACTTAGTCGTGAGGACGCCGAAGAGGAGTTTTTATGTATTGCTGAGGAATTGGATATGTATGGGACTTCATTTTACAAAATTCTGGTTGGGTATTTTTAAATATCTTCAGAAAAAATATTTTTTAGAATCAACGCGGTACCGAATTGCTGTTAGGCGTATCTGCGCAAGGATTGGGTTTGTTTTTGGATCAATTCTAGAATTTAATGGGTACTCTTGTGTTATATGCCCCCATTTTTATAGCTCCATTTCGTATTTTACAAATTGTAAAACCTTTTCCGGAATATAATAAATATATTTTACAAATTGTAAAACTTTTTCCGGAATATAATAAATATATTTTACAAATTGTAAAACTTTTTCCGGAATATAATAAATATATTTTACAAATTGTAAAACCTTTTCCGGAATATAATAAATATATTTTACAAATTGTAAAACTTTTTCCGGAATATAATAAATATATTTTACAAATTGTAAAACTTTTTCCGGAATATAATAAATATATTTTACAAATTGTAAAACTTTTTCCGGAATATAATAAATATATTTTACAAATTGTAAAACTTTTTCCGGAATATAATAAATATATTTTACAAATTGTAAAACTTTTTCCGGAATATAATAAATATATTTTACAAATTGTAAAACTTTTTCCGGAATATAATAAATATATTTTACAAATTGTAAAACTTTTTCCGGAATATAATAAATATATTTTACAAATTGTAAAACTTTTTCCGGAATATAATAAATATATTTTACAAATTGTAAAACCTTTTCCGGACCATTTTGTAATCTTAAAGAGAAATTAGAAAGGAAGGAAAGAAGAAGGAAATGGAGGCTATAAAAATTGGGGGCATATAACACAAGAATATCAATTAATGAATCACTTTTATAGGAATATACGAACCAGATAATAAACTTTCTCCTCGGCCATTCTTCCCTTGGACAGAAATAAAATGCATTTCTTTTAAAAACAAAATGGTTTGGAATTTTTATTTTAATTTTTTAATTAACTTTGCTCGTTTTTTTAGTTCACAATTTGTACAGCAGACAAAAGCAAAATTCGGTTCAGAGCTGAGGATATGAGCATAAATCAATCACTTTTGGATTTGTGTGTAGGAACACATAATTTATATCTTAGACGACGACAGCCAGATTTACTTGAAGTTCAACAAATGAGGATTCAAGCACAAGAGTAAGGAAATTTTTTAGAGAATATGGGGGAATAATGGGAACAAAGATTAAAACAACTTAAACAAACATTTTGAACATTTAATTTTCGGCAGCGACAGCGCAGATTAGCCGAACAGACTCGTCTTCAACGAGAGCGTGAACAAAGGGTTCAGGCAGAATCAGAAAGGGATAAGTTGAGAACAGAATTGGGACATTTGGCAGAACAATTAAATACGATGCAGGTTCTCTTTTAAATTTTTTGAAAATTTTCCAAAATTTCTGTTGTTTAGATTGTAATGAAGAATGCAGAAGAAAGTCATCAATTAATAGCAGAACGTGCAAGAATTTCAGAACAAGAAGTTTTTGAAATGACAAGGCGTGCAAATGATGCTGAAGCAGAAATGCAAAGAATTAGACATTCACAATTACGCGCAGAAGAAAGAAAATTGGCTTTAGAAAGAAAATATAAGGATGCTGAATTACTTGCTAATCGATTGATTCAACAGCAACAACAATTTAATAATAATAACAGCAACAGCAGTAATGGAATCATTCCGATGACACAGGCAAAATTTAATTTTTTAAAGCCCCCGCCTTATCAGTGCCCACAGCTTATATTGATAGGCTCTTGTTGACAAGTAAGCCTCCAACTTATCAATGCTAAGCCGCCACCTTATCATTCATTACTTCACGTTATTATTTTTCATTTTTAAGCCTCCAGCTTATCGGTGTTGAGCCACTGCTTTTTAATTGTTAAGCCCCAATCTTATTACTCTTCCACGTTATCATTGTTAAGTCTCCACCTTATCACTTTTAAGCTTTAACCGTTATTATTTTTAAGCCTCCGCCATATCATGAACAACTACGCCGATCCAATCCTTGTAGCAACAATTCTGTTAAACATATAGCTACAAATTCTTCATCATTGGAAGAAGAAACAACAGTTGAAACTGATGAAGGTGTTGATGAAGGAAATATAATTGAACATTTACAACAACAACAATTTCCTTTAATTAATGGAATAAATGGAGGAGGAGGAAATGCTTTATTACTTCCACCACAACCCCCACCACCACTCCCGTCAACAAATCCTCCTTCAACACAAAATAACAACAAATTATTTACAAAAATGTCTTTATCGTCACAACAAAGAAAACACCAACAGAAACAAAATGTTGAAGATTTTAATGGAATTAACAACAATAATAATGGGAATGGAGGTGTTTTTGCTTCTTTAATAGCTACAGAACAACAGAGACAAACAATTAGTAATGAACTTCAACATATAATGTAAATTAAATTTTTATTGGGGTTGTTGACGACTGATAACTCTAATTTTTATTTTAAAATATTTTTTTTAATTTTTCAGAGCTTCTACATATGCAGAATTAGAGCAATCAAGGTTTTGGATTTTTCATTAAAAATTTTTTTAACAAAAATAATTATTTTATAGAGGTGACTGGCAAGCAAAGGACCATTCATTACGTGAAAAACTTGCAGGTTTTTTATTTTTTGAATGATTTATATATTTAATTCTTATTAGATTTTCGTTTGGAATTAGAAGCTCTTAAAAAAGAAGGTATGGAAACTGAGCAAGATAAATTATTTGCACAAAAAGTTGCAGCAACGGGGTGTTTTGATAAACATTCAACTTTGAGAAAGGTTTGTGATTTTATAAAAAGTTTTTAAAATTTAATTTGGACTCTAGTCAAATTCGGCTTGCGGTCTTAAAAAATTTTGATTGTGAGAGGGATGACCAAAAAAAGATTACCTTTAAAAGTGACTAAAAATAGGTTTGAATCTGTTGTTTTGTTTGTGTGTGTGTGCATGTTGATGTTTAGACAAACAAATTGTTTGTTGTTGTTGTTTGAGGATTTTCTTTTCTGTGATGTTTGTGTTGTTGTTTGTTTGGTTGTTGTTTAAACAAATTGTTTGTGTTGCTTTTTTTGTTGTTGTTGTTTGTTGGTGTGTTTATTTGTTGTGTATATTATTTGTTGTTGTTAATGTTAGAAAAACATTGTCATGGTTATAATTTCTGTATTTTGTTTTTGAATGTTTAATCTTTGAAAAAACATTGTTGGGCTTTTTTATTTTTGTTTTTGAATGTTTTTCAATTTGTTTTGAATTTGTTACAATTAGTGTTTGTTTGATTTTTAAAAATTTCAAGTTAATTAAAACCTTTTAAAAAATCTATTTATTTTCAGAGTGGTTTTGGATCGTCTAAATCAAAAGCAAAAATGTTTGATGAAATGACTCATTCTAAATTAACATCAAATACAACATCTACTACAAAAACAGCTATACAACCTTAAAAATGCAGGAGTATATTTTTGCCTTAGTTAAATTTTATAAAAGTGATTTTTAAAATTTTTTTAGCATAATCTTTCAAAACACAAAATTAATCTTTTATTTGTGCCTTCTTTTCAGTTTATTCTTTTGCTCATGTTTTGTATCTTTTTTAATTAGTCAAACATCCAAAAAGGGGATTTTTATTTCTTCAAAAATTTAAAATTACTAGATCCCTTTAATTATTCACTAGAGATCGGGACCTTGATTTTTACTGGATTCGGAGTCAAAATCGAGGCATTTTTCAGATTTCCTTGATTTTTTCTTGACTCTAAATCAGGAATCTGATCAAGATTTTTTTAAATCTCTATCTCTATTATCTTCTACTTAACTTTTTCTCTCTCTCTTCCCCTCAAGTTTTTTCTTGCCATTTTTTAAAATTCTTATTGTTAAATTATTAATTTAATAATTAATATATAATTTTATTTTTTTAATACCAAAAATATTTGGATTTTAATTCCATTTCTAATACAAATATATATTGAATGTGATTAAAGAAATAATGGAAAACAAATATAATTGGGCTTATAAAATAATTTTCAAGGAATAAACAATTGCAGGAACAAACAATTTGTGGTATGTTTAAAATTGAATATTTGACAAAAAATTCTCGGTCAAAACCCCTTCAGAGTATAGTTTCTATTTTTTCTTCCCACCACGCTCTTTCAACATTAACTGAACATTTGCTTCATTCACAAAATTATAATAGGCCAAAGTAAAATTATCTTTGAGAAAAGTATTCTGGAAAAATGAAAAAGGATTGAGGGGCTTATTTTTAAGAATTAAAAAAACCTGATAAACAAGCTTAGCCTTTGATGCGGGTACAGTCGTTTGTTCTTGAATTAGCGATTTTAGTGCGCTTACCTGAAAAATAATTGTTAATTAAAAAATGTTTTTAAGCCTTACAGTTGAAGTAATCTCCAATTGTATAGTGAATGTTTGTCCTTTAAGATTCCATTCATCTGTTTGTGGTGTGCTCAACTTTACAGTTATTTGGCCGGAAACTTTTTGAAGCCAAAGTTCTTCTGGTTCCAAAGCATCATCTACGCGGAATTTCTTTGCAGCAGAAGCTCCACTTTCATCGGGTGGGGGTGGTGGAGGCATAAACCCTTGCGGGTGATGGGCCATTGCCATGTGTGGAGGAAGTCCGGGCATTTGCATGCCCATTGGAAGCATGTGTGGCGGTGGAGGCATCCCAGGTAACGGCATGCGTGGCATGCGCATTTGTTGTTGTGGTGGAATTCCAGGTATAATTTTGGCAACATTTGAGACAATTGGTGGTTGCAAGTGTGGAGGGCGCTAAAGTTTTTTAATAAATATTTTTAAGGATTATAAAATCATACAGGTGGAAGTGGAGTTGGCACAGATGTTGTTGCTGGTGGAGGCATTGGAGTAGTGGTCGAAGCTGTTGTCGCTGATGCAGTTGTACTCGGTGTACTTGGCGCAAAACGATCAGCAGCTGGATTTGGTAAATAACCATGTTGGCGTTGAATTTCTGTTATTTGCTGTTCAAGAGAGACAGCCTGTTGAGCCGCCCGCGTTGTAGCGTCGATTGTAGCTTGCTGCCCGTCCCAAATTGTTTTAGGATCAGAACGAGGTAATTGGCGTTCCTCCTCACCCAATTTCTTTCCAATTATTGTTTGTTCTACTCCCTTTTCTCCAATACCGAAAATGTCAGTACGTCGCTCAGCTAATTTTGCAATGTTTCGTGAGATTTCTGTACCAGATGCTGTGATCGGATCTTCATCTTGTCGTTCCATTTGCTCTCTATTTTTGTGGGGAATATTTTTAATAATTCTAAAAAACAAAAATTCACAAACCTGTCTCTCTGTTCCTTAAATTGAGGGTCAACAGTATTGTATCGAACGTGTTCATGAAGCTTATCAGCAGGAATGCGTTCATTTGTTAAAGGTGAAATGATGAATTTTTCATTTTGTCCTTTGGCCACTATGCCGGAACGAGCTTAAAAGGAGGAATAAATTTTTAAAAATTTTTGGAAATTAATTTCCTACCCTTTTTAGGATCGTAATCACGAATCACAACATTCCCAGCAATAGGTGCTGCTGGTGTTGGCTGGGTAACAGTCGAGCCAGCATGTTGTTTCTCAGTAATATCCATCCCATCAACTTGATGTTGTATATCATCAAAATCTTCTCTATTTCTCTGCTTCTTTTTCTCTTCTTCATCTTCAGAATCTGATTCATCCATGTCCATTGCAACACTTTCAGCTGCAGCTTTAGCTGCTTCAGTTCGTTGTTGAAGTAAAATTCGAGCTCCGACATCCCGAGGAGTACAAAGTGAGGGTAAATTCACTGAAATAATATAAAGAGTTCAAACATATTTCTCTATAAGGAAAGTTCATTACAAGTTTCAGAAGGTTGAAAGTCAACTGTTTGAACAACTACAAAATCATGCCAATCAATTTGATTATAAGCCATCCTTTCCTGTTCAACTTCAGCATCTTCTCTGTCCTTAACTGCACGTTGAAATTTTTCCCAACCAACGCGATACCGAACGTCTTCCAAAATTTTTTTGTGTGAAGCAGAATTGCGTAGTTCATCGTATACATTCCTTGGTGGAATTATTACCTACAAAAAATAATTATAGGGAATATTTCTCGGGGATTAAAGGAAACTTACTTTAGTATATTGCTCCACCAATTTTGTAAAATATTGAAAATTGGAATGTTGAGGTTTTAAAAAGTCAAATTGAAAATTACGGACCTCTCGATTCATTAACTGTGTGAGAAATTGACGCCCATTTCTTGCAACAAAAAGAGCGGTAAGTTGGATAAGATCCCTTAAAAAAGGTTAAAAAATTAAGTTATAAGGGATAGAGTTTGGAGAATGTTCCTCCTCTCCTCTTTGTCGTTCCCCTCCCCCATGTTCTCTTCCCTTGTTCCAAGGTCTATTTAATAAAACATACAAGTCAAAAGCGTTTATCGTCGATGGATCAGCACAAAATTCAAAAGGTTTTGGTGGATTTTTTGGAACAAATTCAGCCTTTTGTATATGTTCACGAACAGCATCAGGAACTTTAAGTTTAGTTAATAATTCAGCAGAAGCAACTCCCGTCTCAAATTCTTTCACTTTATTTTTGTAGTAAGCATGGTACGGATCAACAGGCGTAAGAAAATTAAAACGTATATTTGAAGCTTCTCTCTCTCGAATTTTATTTTCAAATTCAACACCATTACGTGCAACGAAAAGAGCAGTTTTGTCAACAATTGCTGAAGAAAAATAGAAAATTTTTAAGCTTAAATTAAAAAAAAACTTCGAATATCTGGAGG